GCATGTGGTGCTGGGGGATCGAACCGTGGTCCCTGTGCTTTGCTAAGCTTGTTCTAAGTAGGTGCTTTAGACCACTGAGCCATCTCACCAGCCCCGTTTATAGCTTTTTAAAAACAGCTTTTTTTTTTTTTTTGGTGGAACCAGGGATTGAACTCAGGCCCTTGCACTTGCCAGGCAAACACTTATTCTACTGAGCGCTCTCCCCGGCCCGTAAAAACAGCTTCTTGATTTGCAAAATCAGTTCTAAGGGGCCAGGGAGATGGCTCAGCAGAATAACCATTTGCCTGGCAAGCGCAATCCCCGCTTCAAAAACAACCACCACAACAACACCCTATTCTGAGCTAAGAATTAAGCTGGGCAGTTGTTGACCACTTGGGTCCTCTGACACAAAGGCTGTTTCCCTGTTATAATGTCTAGGAGTACCGGTATTTTGGAGACATAAGAGTATGTATGTATTTTTCTAAAATAAAAAAATGAATTGTAACTGGATGGGCTAGAATTAGGTGAGGGCTCGATAGGACAAAGGTCATTTAGTATAAAACTTCAACTCAGTACGAGCTTTGAGGAATAAGGGAAGTCTTGAATAATTAAACTAATAGGTGAATTCACTTTAATTTACAAGGCATGGGGACAGGCTATCCTTTGGTTTAGTGACAAAATGAGACGAAAGGCACACGAAACCTCTTGTCATACACACCTGCAACACTTGAGCTTGCTGCTATAAGTCCAAAGATAGTTTTACATGTTTCTAAATTTCTCATACACAGATGGCAAAACACTGACACAAATGTCTACAAATGGAATTCAGCAGAGGATTTAGTTTAATAGTTTGATAGATGGAAAAATCTACTTTGTTGTTAAATTAATTCTAGGGTAACCAGCTATAGAAGAGATGCTACAAAATTTGTACAACTAGTTACAGATTTTATTTGCCTATGGCATGTAGAGATAGGAAGCGAGCGCTTTGGACATCTGGTGCTACTCAAAGAATGAAGACTTGCACAGACCTCAGACTTGAAAATTTCTGTCTTCTTCTTAAATAGCCCTTGGGCTGAACCCAGCGTTTGCTCATCCTGGGCCCATGCTACGCAGCTGGGGTACAGCTCCAAGCCTTCTGAGATCTCTCTTACCTATACTATGATTGCCTTGTAAAAAGAATTATAAATTCAAATAATAATGACTCATATTTGGAGATTGTAAGTGTAAAAACTAGTTGGGCAAAGGACAGTGTTGAAATGACTAATAAAGACCAGAAGGGCCGTAAGTATCAACTACTACTATACCTTTTATGAAGTTAGACTATTCTATACACACTCAATGTCACCTCTCAGACAGAAAGAGCCCGAAGAACAAAATGCGCACCTCTGCTTGGTCAGGCTTTCCTACCTGGCGGCAGGGCTCAGCGCGAGGTGGGGCGGGAGGCTGGCCCGTGCTGGCTCCCACGCGGGCACCTCTGCAGCCTGTCCCATTTCTTCTCATTCTCCTGCCCCCTCAGGCAGGGATCATTGTTCCCTTTCACTGCACTGGAAATCAAGGCCCCCGGAGAGATTAAGGGGGCGCGAGGTCGTTCTGGTACACATCCAGCCTTAGAGGCTATTGCCTGGACTTGACTTCAGCACCGTGAAATCGAACCCTTTCATCAGTAAGTCAAATGTGTCATCTGCCTAGTTCTCCTCCAGAGGATGGCACAGGATTCCTGATACTGCTGATATTACTACACCATGACTTTACGGAATGCATTGGGAAAGAACTGAAGAAAAGGTGTGCAGAAAAAAATCCAGAGCAACTTTCGGAAAGCGAATGCCTGAGTGCGGACATCCAAGTAGCTCAGATCTATATAGTTCTGAGAAAACTCAAGTTCACCTAACTGAAGTCTCTTTGGTACTGGGAATCAAACTCAGAACCTTGCCCTTGCCAGGCATGCACACGTGCTGCTGAGCTATATCCCTAACCTTTAATTCAAGTTTCTAATTTCACACACAGAGAAACTAGAGTGTAATTATTGAGACAGAAAGTTTTTGATTTGTAGATCAATTTTCAGCCGCCCATTCTGTGAGAACATGGTTGGTCATCTATGTGGACCTCAGGCTCAGAGGGGTAATAAAAAGGAGGCAGCACTAACTTACCTTTCAAGAGTATGAGGGAGGTTACAGGGCATAGGATACACGCAGACGTTAGCGTAGTTAGCTGACACAGTAAGCGATAATTAAATGGCAATCATTGTTTTTAGCATTTTACAAGGACTTAAAGAGAGCAGGCAATCCTTGGAGACTCCTGTTCAGTCCTTCACATTCTTCCACAGTCTTTGGAATAGAAGTTAGAACATCTATGTAACATTGAGACAGGTTGCTCAAATAAGTGAGGCGAACAGCCACAATCTTACCATTGGTAGGCTTCTGTCAGTCCTGATCTGTAAAATGAAAGGAACAGAATTGCTTCAGGCGATGGCAGTAAGTTGTCAGCCACAAAATACCTACTTTGTGCGCAAAGAGCTCTTCATGAGGCAGCACACAACATCGCCTGTGCTCTCCAGTAACAGGCAACGGGGCTGAGAAGCTGCAATTTTACAGTAAAGCCAGTCAATCGCCCACACGCTCATGAAGTAAGTGGTAAAGACAATGAAGACAGAACCCGAAAGATGTGACACAGCTGAGGTGAACGTACTGTCGGGTGGCACAGGGAAGCACCTGATTATTGGTTAAAGGAGGCCAGAGAGCAAGCACACCACGTTCATTCTCCAACACAGAACTAGCACAACTCCTGCGTGTGCCTTCCTAGTACTGCTGCAAGTTGGTTCTTGTCTAATTTAAGAAATGTGGCAATTTTTAGGCTCTCAGTACTCACTAAAATTTATCTCGGTACTTTAGTGTTTGGGACCAAACTGTACCTGAAGGGATAGGGACACTGAAAAATTTAAATATATAAAATTAGACACGATGTGACTAGTAGCCACAGACAGACCCCTGATAGGAAAGCACGTGTCTACTTCATTAGGAAAGACAGAGCTGGACATTAGGTAAACGTTCAATGTCATGAGGAAAGGTTTCCTGAAGGAAGGAAGCAAGCAAAGAAAACAGACCAATTAATCTTTCAACAGATGAGGGATCTTGCCACGTGTAATTTTTATTGTGCTTTGAAAAAAACTCCAGAGAATGATCAAATTCCTTCCGACCAAAGAGTCTGACCTTTCCTTAGTTCCACTTCCCCGTGACTTTCCAACGCATGGTAGTTGTAAAGAGGTGGCGCCTAACTGATGAAGCAGTCTTCTCGGAGCTCTCCGTCCCCTTTCCTCTGGAATCTAGATCAACAGAGAAGCCCCCGAGACTGTGGCTTGCAAACTAAGTGACCCAACAGATTTATAAGATGCACTGTGGAGAAGCACAAACTTCTAAAGCATCTGTCCAGTAGGACAGCAGCTGTACAGATGGCTGGCTTAGCAGGCTGCCTTCAGACAACTACGGCCTTGCCAGGTACGACAGAACTTGGTGTGGTCTGCAGAGAAGGATTAAACCTACAGACGTGGGAACTGTTTTTAAGTCTGGCAGGGAGAAGTGGAAATCACGGAGAACAGAGGTTTACGACCTTGTGCACCGTGGCTGCTGGCAGCCCGCGCACATGCAGGCGCACAAGCCCAGGGGACCCCGCTTCCTTTCTCTAGAGCACTTCTTGCTGTTCATGGATTCACTTCCAAGGTCTCCAACGGCCAGTCAGAGTTACGACAGAGCTCAACCCAGACCTGTACACCGTGGAGAACCTGAAAAGGGAAACCTGCTTGCTTAAACATTAGCTTCACAGCTATTTCCAGCTTTGTTTTCTGTCTTTATCCTTTTCCCGCTTCAGCCGAGGAATGTACACGGGCCTTGAGAGCGAAATCTACCTCTTCCTTTTATGAGTTTTAAAAACTACTTTCTGGGGCTGGTGAGATGGCTCAGTGGTCTAAAGCACCTACTTAGAACAAGCTAAGCTAAGCACAGGGACTGGGGTTCAATCCCCCAGCACCACGTGTCAGCCAGCCCTACCCCCTGGTGGGCTGAGCTGGCCACACACGCGCGCACGTACACACACATAAATAAATAAAACCATTAAAAAAAAAAAGCTACTTTCTGAAGGGAGAGGCATTTACAAGTAGAGGGCAAGTCCTGTTGTGGGCTGGCTTCTCCTTTAAGGAAGGGCAGCTCGCTGTCTCAGTTCTCAGAGCACCACACTTCAGTCTTTGAATGTGTCCTGTATCTCTCTCTGTCATAAACCTGCCCTGTCTGTCTCACTGATGCAGCCTGGGAATTTTTTCCACAGCAGGAGTCAGTAAACCTGCAAACTTACTTTAAAAGGATCGGTTAGTTTCTTTATTTCAGCATGAGGGACCTATGATAGACCCAACCTGATGACAAAACCATGGGATATTTAAGGGGCAAGGAATGTAAAAATAATTATGGCGTGTTATATACTGCAAACATGTACTAAAAAGGGGAAGGAGGACCTAGGTGAGAGACACCTAGCTCGAGGTGCATGGCGCTCCCATCTGCCTGGTGTGGGACCTGAGCGAGGGCTTTTCTGGGTTACTCTGTGGGTGCTAACTCCCTGTGCTTTGCCCTAGTTTCTGAAATGTGCTTTCCTTAGGTCTGACGAGTACCTGGCTAGTCGCTGCTCTAAGTGGTGGTACCGTTCCTCCCTGAGGCTACCACCAAAAAGTTCCCCAACTACAGGTACCAGAAGATCAACAGCAGCAACCTAGAAAGGAAACAAAAAGAATCATAAATAGCATTACACTTTCAAGGGATTCTAACAGTTTCTCAAGCAAATGTACATTTTAAAAAACAATTTTACGATTGTTTCTTCACTGCTTACCAGGATCTTTTTCATCTTCTCTGTTTATGTATGCTGTTTAAATATCAAATATCTAATATTCTTTCCTACATCAGTTGCTTCGTTGGTTGTTTAGAAGTACAATTTTCTTTTTGTTGAACAGTCTCATGTGTACATTTTGTTTTTTCATCATAAATAATGTGGCAACAAGGGGCTGGAGCGATAGCTCTGCAGCATAAGTGCCTGCCTGGCAAGCGCAAGGTCCCAAGTTCGATCTTCAGTACTGCATGTCATGTCAGCCCCAGAACTGGGCATGGTGACACACATCTATAAACCCAGCATTGGGGAGGCTGAGGCAGGATAATCACTACAAGTCTGAGTTGTGTGGCAAGACCCTGTTTCAGGGGGAAAAAAAGTGGCAATGAGATGGGTAGCTGTGTGTAGCAGGTATTTTTTGGTGCTGAGGTTCGAACCCAGGCCTTGTGCAAGGCAAGCACGTGCTCTACCACAGGTCATGCTCTCAACCCCTACAGTAGAGGCATTTAGCTTGTAGTCATTTATTGTGTCATACAATAACTTCTGATTATCAAGTAAGTACAAATTAAAACAATGAAATAGCATTTTGGAGTTTTTTATCTTGGTAAAGCTAAAAAGACAACACAAACCATATGGGTCACAGAACAGCAGACTTGATATAACCTGTGGTGGTCAGCAGTGTGGCAACAGACACTCAACAGCCTTAGAAGTGCAACATCCTTTCAGTTACCAAAGCAGTTCTAGGAACTGGTCCTAACAAAACAATCAGATACACAAAAAAGATTCGCACAGGATGTTTATGACAGCATTACTCACAAGAAAAAAAAACCAAAAAACAAACCCTGCAAGTTGCATCAGCAGGAGTCTGCTGGGCGGGGCTCAGGCCTGAGTGAGGCCGCGCGAGGCGAGGCTCACTGGGTAGCCGCTGCGGTGGGTGTGCGACTTTGCAAGGTTTGCTTTTCTCCTGTTTATATCTTAGTTGTCTGTAATAAAGAGGCATCACACTTCTGTCAGGAGATATCAAAAGCTTTCTAAGAGAGTAAAATGGCCCTTGTATTATAGCAATATTTAGTATCTTAAGAATGTTGATTCGCTCTGTGCTTTGTGATTTGCCAGTTCTTTTTTTTCTTTTTCATTTATGTATTTTGGTACAGGGTCTCAGTACGCAGCTCGGACTCACAGTAAGCCTCCTGTTTTCAGCCTCCCCAGCGCCGGGATTACATGTGTACCACCACGCCCAGACTTGAATGACCAATTGATTGACAGATCGTTGGCTCAGTGCAGCCCAGGAACGGGGCTGGCAGGGCATGTGGGACAAGGGATCAAACCCTGGTCCCTGCCATTGCCAAATGATTTGTCAGTTCTTGGGGCTGGGAGGGGTTGGGGGATCCTTTTATTAAGCCCAGTATTCTGACAATGTAAAACTAATTCAGTGCAACAAACAAAAAATTAAGAATCTATAGAATACATTTTAATCTGTAAATGTCACATTATATATAAACTCTTAAATTCTCACTTTACCATTAATCTATCACCCTAGTATTGATTTCAGAATTTCTCACTGAAATACACTTTATAAATAGTTGAGATTGATAAAAAATTCAAGAATGTACTCTAAATACTGTATGTCCCACCTCATTAACATAAAAATGTATCAGGTAAGATTCTCATGGCCACACTGAATTAAAGTGACAACGGAGCTTTACAGTGGTTTTATACTTCTACTAAGTCTCTCGCGTCTCAATAAAGCAGGGAGGACAAAGGGTGATTGTACAGAAAGACACTGTCACACCACAGTGCTTGGCAGGAACTCTTGTATGAAGCTGGGGTACCTACACTGAGTGTCTAGATTATCTACAATGTGATTTGGTAACTCTGATGTGGTCACAGCTAATGAAATCCAATACTTTGGATAAGTAGACAAGACAGAATAGCATGAAGGAATTCTCATCCATCCAGATGGAGTTTTTATCTATGGTCAGAGAAAGACTGGCATTTTGTTGCATTTTGTGCTTTTGAGACAGAGTCTCAGTATGTAGCCCAGGCCAGCTTTGAGCTCACAGTGGTCCTCCTGCCTCAGCCTCCCCTGTGCTGGGGGATTATAGGCATGCACCACCATGCCCAGCTTCAGAGTTATAAATTTAGAATTAAAGATAATTAGATTTTATTTATTTTTTGATAATTAGATTTAGAAGAGGATAATTAGCCAAGGGGGCTTCTGACTGACAATATTTAAGATTTGGGAACCAGTACCCTACAAAAAGCACCACAGCTTTGTTCAGCTGTATCAAGGGGCAGGTACAATCATTCCCAAGGTTTAAGTAGGGGTCATTCCACGCAGCAAGCACAGGCCATTACTGCTTCTGATGCTGTAAAGAAGATGCAAAGCTTGGAAGCTGGGGCTGAAAAGGTCCACTCCCTCAAAGATGCTGGGCGGTCCATGCTCAGAAGGGGCAGAGGCAGGTGCTGGTGGGCAGTGCCGACAGAGCCGCCCTGCCTTGTCTGTGTCGTCTGTGAGCAGCAGGTATGAAATTCATCTGCTTGGTCTTGCTGCAAGCACAACCAAGCCAAAAGCCTGCTGGGACCTCAGCATTGTCTGCTGGCCTAAATTATGTCAATTTTGGATCTCGTTTTTTAAAAAATCTTATTTCTAGAAGAGTGTAAAAGATTGTTATCTTTAGAACACAAACCTCCTCTACTTTAGTGTTTGAGTTTACCAATTCGTTTGAGATCTTCCTATCTGATTTTCATACATTTTAAATATCTGCAACCATAGTGCAACTAGACACTTTTGAGCAACATTGTCAAAATCTTATCCCCGATATATATATGGACAATTTCTTCCAATTCTAGCTTCCTAACTACTAGGATACCTAATTAGTTATGCTCAACTATTTCTGCACTGGCTATTATAAAATTAAGGTAAAATTAAAATTAAATTGCTATGTCAGGCAGGCAGGCTGGGTTATGCTGCAGTTACAGACAATCCCAGAAGCTGGCAGCAGGGTCTCTCTGGCTCAGCTTTGCTAGCAGCTCTGCCAGCAGCTGTGGCCCGAGCGTCTGTGCTGTGAGGCCTGTGTGGCATTTCGGGCAAGCTCTCTCTATCTACTTATTTCTTCTTGGTGGTAGTGACTGTGCCAAGCATGTGTTCTGCCCCAAGGCGACGTCCACAGCCCACGGGGGGACCTGGCAGCACAACCTGTCCCTACCCACCAGATGCGAGTTGCGTGATTTCAACTGTGACTGTGTGAAGGGATTCCAGCCTTGGCTCTTGTCTTGTGAGGCTACAGAGAGGAGGGCAGTGTAATCCCTGACTGAGAATCATAGTTGACATCAGCAAAATTGTTCCCCCTTTTAATACATCTTACATTTAGGGTAGGGGATTCTTTTACAGTGTCTCATAAACATTCCGTGACCAAACAGTACTATTTCTTTTTCAGCTAGTACAGATTTACCTCTGAAGAAAACTCAACAAAGCCCTTGATTTTATCTCTTCTGCTGATATAAATTCTTTTTTCTACTTTCCTTAGGTTTAGTTTCCTTTCAACAAAACCAAATTCTAACACTCGCTGCTCTTTATAACTATATCCTCCAATCTAGTTTCCCACTTTCTGAGAATTATATATAATACTCTCCTCAACTACAAACAAAAACCTAAGTTTATACAAAGCTGCACTTCATTCTGATATGAAAAAGTAAAATTTTCTGAAGATCTCTGGAACAATCCTCTCCAATTTCTATACTTTTTAGTTTCTTTCATTTTGGGGGACTTTTTTTTTTTTTTTTTTTTTTAATATTTTGCTAAGTTGCTAAATTGTCCAGGCTGGGCTCCTGTGGATCCCGTGCCTCAGGCTTCCAGAAAGGCAGGATCACAGACATGCACTGCCACGCCTGGCCCAAGTAGGATTCTTCTCCTTTGTGTTTCCCCTGCGACCCACTGGGCTAGGTAGCAGAGAATGTTATCAGCTATTTCTCTAACGTCTCTATGGAGATAACAGGCAATACAGATATAACACAATGCATTATATAATATGCACAAAATGCAAAATATGGAGAGGATCAGACAAATACCCTGAGGAAGTACCAAGCAAGCCATGGTCACGTGCGTGTTTGCACGTGGGGAGGCCGACAGGACACACATGAGGGACCCAGCAAGTTGCTGAAACCATTGGCTGGTGATCAAAGCCTCACAGGCTGGGGGTCTGTGCTTTATATGACCCCGAGACTGAGCAGGCAGTGTAGACAGGAAGAATGAATCTCCATTAGGGCAAGTGGGGAAGGCTCACAGATACAGTGCATGAAGTCACAGCAGAGCACTGGTTTCATCATGCTAACGTAACCCATGATACAAAGTACCAGGGGCCAGAAAGGCAGAGAAGGCACCAGGAACAATCACGAAGATCACAGGCACTCTCACAGCATCAGTACTGTGACACTAATGGACCTTCCGGGCAGTCCGGTGCCTGGAGTCCCAGACAGCTATCTGCGAAGGTGACTCTAGAACCAAGCCACCGTCAGGACCCTTCCCGCTCCTGCAGCTGTTGCAGGATCAGCTTCCGAACGGCTGGACTGAGGGTGTATTGTAAGCTAGTCACAGCATGTCACCCTTGCCTCTGGGGAGCAAGCTGCAAGTCTCTGCACTTCCCTTTGGGAAACACTGTATCTTTTACCTGGATGACCAAAAGCACACTTGCTTATATAGGTTTTTAAGGTTTCTTTATAACTATGTTTTTTTTTTTTTTGTTTTTTTTTTTTTTAAGACAGGGCCTTGCTATCTAGTTCAGGCTGGCTCACTGTGGAGGCCAAGCTGGCCTCAAACTTGCAGTGACACTCCTGCCTTGGCTTCCTCCGTGCTGGGATCACAGGTGCATGCCTACCATACCTGGCTT